CCACCACTACCACCCGCTGATATTACCACAACTACAACTGATGTGACCAACTGCTAACACGACTCATCACCACTGCTCGTACTGCAACCACCACCACCAATACCAAATACAAAGATTCCACCTCCCCCCCCACCACCCAACATAGCCTTAATGGGCTGTTGGGGCAAATGCTGCTAACAAGCAGCACCTATGAAGGCCGGCAACATCACACGAGGGGGCGAGTTGCCAACACCATGTCCGGCCACCTTTATCTGCCAAGTGACGATGTTTACACGCCGCACCAGGTGCTAGTTTCAGGCCGAGTTGATCGGGGGGAGCCCCAGGACCGGTTCAGATAATCGCCACTGTGGCCGTGAGCGGGAATCGAACTCGGGTCGCCGGGTTCGCAGCGGAGCGCAAAAACCACTGCGTCCCTGGCTCCCCACACCACAACCACCGCTGGCAGTGGCGGTGGCGGTACGGTAGGTGCTCCACTCTGTAGTGCCGTTTGTACGTGCGTACACGGCCCTTTTGCCGATCCACTGCTGGACGAGCGCCCGTGCGGGTCATGGCGGTTATTTGTCCATACTTCGCCACGCTGGCCAGTGCGGGGGGGCGAAGGCAGACAGCATAAACGTTGGAGCACGGTGCGACAATCGACGTTGTTGCACTGCCCTCTGCCGACAACCAGCTTGACGCGGGGGGCTGTGGCGGCCGCCAATTCACGCGCAACTCGGGCTCACGCCCCGCCACTCGGCTTCTGAGGTCTGACCAAGGCTGGACGCAACTCTGGGCAATTCGATCGCAGACCGGTGGCCTTTAGGAGGGACCGGCGACCCGCACTTCCGACGACGCCGTCGGCTCGGCCCCTACCTGGCTCTTGGTGTCGTCCTCCTCCTCCTCGTCGTTGGACTGGTTGACCGTCGTCTCCTCCGAGTAGTAGATCTTGTTGCTCGTCAGCACGAAGAAGTGAGGGTTCCACTCCTGCGCCGGAGCGAGAGGGGGGGGAGGGGGGGGGGTGCGCGCACAGGAGGGGCGAGCGGGTGTCACGCGTCGCCCGCACCACGCATCCAGCACCTGCCTGCCGTCTTGGGCGCCACCACCAATGGGGGCGCCACGGTGGCGAAATGTTAACTCCTTCGCCTGGTATGCAGGATGTCGTGGGTTAGATCCCGACGCCTGTATATTTGCAGTTTGCGTGTCTCTCTCCCCGTGGTCGCGTGGATTTTTTTCCGGGTCCTTCCAATTTTTTCCCTCCACATTGGAAAGGTGCGTTTAGAGTATTTGGCTGCTATAGCCACTTCCTTGAGCTGTCATTTGTGGCCAGGTCGCTTCTGAAAAAAAGCCATATGCCTCCGTTGGCTTTACCTGGGAAAATATAAATGGTTTTAGTACCGCTTGAGAACCTGGCAGTTTGTTGCACCCCAATTCAAAACCCCGATTTTCAGCAGCAGCTCAGCCCCGTGACCTCTGACCTCTGAGCGACATGGCCACCTGGACCCAGGCCAGCAACTCGTCGCACCAGAGAGCCCAGTTTAATCGCGGCTGGGCGGCTGAAGCCCCGATTCACACCCGGAATTCAAAACCGAGGATTTATCTCGACGGTGGTGCCAGCTATTGGCGCTCTGGACCTTTGAGGCAACCGGAGACCTCCCACCAACTCACGTGGTTGATGGGGTCCTCCAGGTAGAGGATGCCGTTCTTGATGGAGTTGCTGATGTCGCACTCCGAGTAGCTGCCGCTGGAGGCCACCTCGTCGGAGTTCCCCTCGCCGAGCTTCTTGTGCTGCGCGACGCGGAGTGAACGAGCCATCTCCATCATCATCATCATCATCATCGTAATCAGAGGTTTCAAGCTACATCATTTTTCTTCTTTGGTTCTTTCGGTAAAGTCACGTAGATAGAAAAAGTGATAATGAAAAAGTAAAGTGAAAAAAACCCCCGACGTTTCGATCGCAACATATTTGTATTATTATTATTTTTATTCACTATTTATTATTATTATTCTATCTACGGAACTTTACCGAAAGAACCAAAGAATATGAATTCCTGCAGTCACGAAGGTTTTGAGTCAAAATTCGACGTCATTATGTTCAAGCAGGCGAAAACTCAAGAGGCCAGGACGAGCATTCATCTGCTGCACGCAAGGGCTCAGGATTGCTGGCGTGGGCCTGCAGAATCCCAATCAAGTAATTTGCTGTGTAATTGTTAGACTGTGGCAGATTTGAATCCTTCACGCCGGCATGCGGTGGCCTTCTCGTGTCAATCACGTCACAGGGTCTTTAACAGCCACTGGGAAAGCGGACAGCGCGGAGTGTTATTGCTACGGTTATTATTACACCGGCAATATCATCATCATCAGCCACGGTAAATCCACTGCTGCATGAGGGCCTCCCCAATCCGTCGGCACGAGTGGTGGCCGACTCTAACGTAGTGCAGCACACACCCCATCTTAGTGCAGCACACAAGCCATTCTAGTGCAGCACACAAGCCATCCTAGTGCAGCGCAGCACACACCCCATCCTAGTGCAGCACACAAGCCATTCTAGTGCAGCACACAAGCCATCCTAGTGTAGTGTAACACACACCCCATCCTAGCGTAGTGCAGCAGCACACAAGCCATCCCAGCGTAGTGCAGCACACAAGCCACCCTAGCGTAGTGCAGCACACAAGCCATCCTAGTGCAGCACACACCCCATCCTAGTGTAGTGCAGCACACAAGCAATCCTAGTGCAGTACACAAGCCATCCTAGCGTAGTGCAGCACACAAGCCATCCTAGTGCAGCACACAAGCCATCCTAGTGCAGCACACAAGCCATCCTAGTGCAGCGCCAATGCCCGGGCGTGCCAGGCCCCCCCCCACCCCCACCTTGATGAGGATCTTCCCCTTGAGCTGCGTGGGCGAGGGCAGCTCCTCGGCCTGGGCCTCCACGGGCTTGATGAGCAGCATGTCGCCGAAGACCTTGCGGAAGAACGACGCCATGTTCCTCTGCTGCACGATGCTGCAGTGATCCTCGATGGAGAGGATCACGGGGTAGCTGTGGGCGACGTCGCGGGGGTCAAGTCTCGTAACCCCCCACGCCGCGCCGGATGATGCGTTGGCTCGGCTGCAACGCGGCCACACACCGGGCTGGGCGAGCTGGTGCACAGAGCCGCCCGCCCGCCTACCCGCCAAACTCCCCTCCCCAACACCGCCAACCCCACCACTCTCCTTCGTTATTCTCAACCGCCGGCCCTTCGAATTCCAGCATCAATTAAACATTCCACTTCTGAATTCCGAGCGTGCGTCTCAGCGCATATTTTTGTCAACTTTTCTCCGTGTTACAGTAATGTCCGTATTGAAACACAATTAAAACTATGCCACTTGTATTTTACCAGGTAAGGCCCACTGAGCTGTATAGCTCTTTTTCAGAAGCGACCTGGCCACAAATGATAGCTCAACGAAGTGGCTTATCATCGTGTGGAAATTTATAGCAGCCAAATACTCGCGTGATGTTGATTCTAAATGTGGAGGGGAGAACCGGAGGAGCCGGAGAAAAATCCACGCAACCACGGGGAGAGAGAGGCACCGCAAACTCCGAATATACAGCAGGCGTCAGGGTCGGGACTGAACCCACGACCTCCTGTATACCAGGCGAGGGAGACAACATCACGCTACCGCAGTGCCCCATTACACAGCTCATTACACGATTTAGAAACCATGGAATGGCTTTCGATTAACACGTGCTCATGAAAAACTCTTCATTCAAAACATTGGGAGCTGCTCATCGTTAATCAATTTCGGTTTTCCAAAAAGCATGCCAACCTGCTGACCTTTCACTCCCCTTTAACTTTCGCCACACTTCATCGTTTAACTTTCATCACACCTCCGCCACTACGCCCGCCACCGCCACTCACTCGGACGTGACGAAGGCATGCTCCTTGATTGTGTTGAGGACGTCCAGGAACTTGATCTTGGAGGTGAGCGTGTGGCCGTGGTAAATGATGGGCATGTCATCCGGGCCGTCCCAGCAGTCCACTGTGCGGACAGTGGCAGGACACGTGGAAATACAGTGGGGGCGCTCTGCGGACATTTTGGACCCGCGCGACACACTTCCTTGGGGGAGCAGCATCTCCATCCAAAGGTTTACGTGAACGCAAGAGTGGTGTACGGTATTCCCCCCGTCATTCACGAACTTGCCATCTGAGATTTTCCCTATCCGCGAATCGCATCTGTACATCTGGATGACTGCATCGAGAGAGCGAGAAAGTGATGAGATGAAATGATGAGATATAAAGTGATAAGAGATAAAGAGATGTGTTATGATGATAATTTTCATGTATTTAATCGCTTATATATGTATTTATTTAAGGTAATGCATTAAAAATATTTTTGTAGGTTTTCGTAGGCTAATATCATTTGTATATATGTTCCATAAAACCTTGGATTGCAAGTAACTTGGTCTGCGAGTGTTTTGCAAGACCAGCAAAAATTTAAAATAAATAATAATTTTATAAACGAGCGAGGGTCTTGCAATACGAGTAGTACGTATACGCTTTGTACTGCCGAGCGTCACGTGATCACAACTGATATATGAGTGCTTTGATATACGAGTGCTTTGGATTACAAACACGTTTCCAAACGAATTATGCTCGCAATCCAAGGTTTTACTGTATGTATGTTGAACTTCTTTCACACCGTACGTAGCCGACCGTGCTAATCGGAGGTACAGGGGAAGGACAACAAACTGAACACAAAAAAGAAATGAGTTTTCAATGTAGAGGAGGAGGAGGCGCTAGCACGGAGAGGAAGGACACGGAAACATCAGCAATGGATGGGATATGACGACGATGATCGTTAAGAGTGGCGGACTGCCGCTGTAGCTGCCAGAAGTTCACAAACCCAGGTGCCTCCATAAAGAGGCCGGATGCTTGTGCCTTGTGTGTTTAGTTTTGTGGTCCTTCCTCCGCACCCCCGACTAGCATGGTTAGCTACGTACGGTACGAAATAATTCAAGATAGACACATTGAACTGCTTCATAACGACAATCCACTCCCCGTTGCACGCACCTCATCCACCAGTGGGATGTTAAGGAAAAAAATAAAACCACAAACTATTGTCATTGTACCAGGTGTAAGGCCCACTTAGCTATGAAGCACAGCTGGCTATGTACGGTGCGAAAGAAGTTCAAAGTACATACATACATAGGTACGTACATACATACGGATAAGAAAAGGGAATAAGAAAAAGAGACGATGAATGGCAAAATGTGGAGAAAACGAACGTTCAGCCACCACGTCACAACGGGTCCCCCCCTCCCCCCTCGCCGGGGACGTGAGACCAGAGCGTCGCGACGGCCGCCCCGTGAGCTCCGTGGGGACTTACGTTCGATGCAGCGGCAGCCCATGCGGAGGCAGCGCGCGTAGGCCTCCAGCGACGACTCGCTCGAGAACTGGTCCCCTGTCAGATAGCTGTGGCGGCAACAACGGCCGCAGCAGCAGCGGACAGCCGCCGGTCAGTGCGGCAGCTGGCTCGACGAACCGACCAATCGGTGGCTTAGGTGTACGACGAACCGACCAATCGGTGGCTTAGGTGTACGACGAACCAACCAATCGGTGGCTTAGGCGTACGACGAAGCCACCAATCGGTGGCTTAATTGTACGATTAAGAGACTAATCGGTGGCTTAGGTGTATGACGAACCAACCAATCGGTGGCTTAGTTGTACGACGAAGCGACCAATCGGTGGCTTAGTTGTACGACGAAGCGACCAATCGACCAATCGGTGGCTTATTAGTATGACAGAGCGACCAATCGGTGAACACAGCACCCAAGATAAGCTGCGTTCTGCCGGGAATTTGATGCATTAAACACACAAATCAAGCACAACGGTCAACTTAAAGCGTTAATGATGATAATCAATATTTTTAGTTATATATTAGCGTCATTAATGCAAACATCATCTCATACCTCTTCGCAATCCGCAATACACGGAGGCGCGTGTAGATTAAGATGTTTTCAGACAATTGACGAAGAGCCAATCGCGTGCGTGTGAAAATCCACACGTGTGTGTACGTGTGTGGTGCGTGCGTGTGGGGGGCGGTGGTGTAGCGGTTAGCGCGCCACGCTACGAACCCGGCAACCCGGGTTCGATTCCCACTCACACCAGTGACGATTATCTGAACCGGTTCCGGGCCTCTCCTAAGTCGACTTAGCCTCAAATGAGTACCTGGTGCGATGTGTAAAAATCACCACTGGGGAGACAAAGGCGGCCAGGACGTGGTGCTGGCAAACCCTACCCCCTCACGTGCCGTGCCGGCCTTCACAGGTGCTCCTCGCTAACAGCACTTGCCCCAACAGCCTGTTACAGGCCACACGGGGGATCTTTGTCGTCGTCGTGCGTGCGTGTGCACTCACGTGTTGTGCGAAGATGAGATCCAGTAGTGCGACAGTGGGTTGTTCATACTGCTCGGCGCACACCTGGTTGTACTGGCTGTCCCACACGCAGTTCTCACGGGAGAACAGGTACGTCAGGAACTGCGCCACGCGGGGGGGGGGGGGGGGGGGGGGGGGGGGGGGGGGGGGGGGGGGGGGATAAACAATTGTTCCACATCGACGACGCCAACAACTACGCGTCGCTCGCCGGTTCGTCGCAGCCGCTCGTAATTCACGCGCGCCCGTTTCCGGGGTGGGGCCGCGCGTTTGAGCGTCTCGGAGGGCAGAGAGCCCGGACGCCTTCCGATTCGATCGACAAATTCGAGGGTGCGTTGCGCCGAGTTTGTTACACGTTAGCTGCGCTTCTTGTTGCCCCTCTTTTTGAAATCGACTTTGTAGTCTGGGTTCTCGAATGGCAATATTGACTTACTTATTAATTAAAAATAAAAAAACTGCCAATCGTGCCGAGCAAGCGGGGAAGCGGTGGGCCTGCGATGATGAGTACCATCGGGGCTCGGATCACGGCTCTCGGCCGAATCCCTAAAGGCAACACACCTCTCTATTAAAGTTTTGTTCGAAATGAATCATTCTGCACGTATGTTTGAGCTTCTTTCGCACCGTACGTAGCCAAGCGTGCTAATCGGAGGTGCATGGGCAGGGGTGGAAAGGACAACAACCTAACCCAACAAGCAGTTCTAAAGAAATTAGTTTTCAATCTAGATTTAAAAGTCCACAGCTCCAGTGGCTCCCCCATCACGAGAGTTTCCGTGTCGCCTCGTTACAGACAGATGGACAGAGCTTAAAACACGTTTCTACGTCCTGGAAGCTCAATCGCCAAAGCGTTAAACCTCCCCCCCCCCCCCTCCCCCCCCACCCAAATAAGGCAGGCCGAAGAGCTCCGTCACTCAAACTCATTCAATTTAAGTTTGCGCATGGGACGTACTTAACGAATGAGAGCAGGGCAAAATTTATTAACATTTCTTTAGACTGCCCCAGACGTTCTCCAGGTTCAGCACAGAACTATCTCCATGGCTTCCCGTCACTGCCCGGATGTGGAGAAGCCTTACGGCGAGGTCGCAAGGGTTCATTAATGACCTTAGTGGCACAGATTTGCCCCTCCCACCATTAGAGGATACCTCATGGGGATTAAAGGCCTCCCGCGGCCTCAATGCACCAGGCACGCTCTCCTGCAGACTTTCAATATCATAGCCCAGGAAGGTTATTTTGACCAACTGGAAGAATCAAACGAAACCACCCACCTGGAAACAACGGTGCAGTACGCTTACGGCGCATTACGGTGTGGAACACCTGAGCCATAAGCTCGAGGGAAAGGAGGTGGCATTCGAGGCCAGATGGTCCCCCCCCCCATCACACAAAACAACTTAAATAAGTTAGCAGGATGGAGGGTCGGGAGACAGGGACCGGGCATAAGAGGCATAACCACTGCAATTTAGGTGTGTGTCCCTCGCTCTCCCCCTGTCATCCCGTCCCCCTTGCTTCAAAAATAAAAATTACCCTCTCCCATTTCGGTGGGACCCTCCCCCCTTGTGTGGTTCAGGGCAGCGAGCCCATCCCTCATCTTTCTCCATCCCCCTGCTTTTCACGAGCGGTTTGGCTTATGTCGACGGCGTGTGTACACACGTGCGTCACAACGTGATGGAACGGGCCCCGCACATCGCCTCGGTAACATTTTTATATTTACGACAACAACAAAAACTCCCAAAAGGGAGGCGTCCGAAAGCTCGCGCCCCCGGATTCGGCTTTCGCTCGGCCCCGAGGACCCCACACCCCACACCCAACAGCTTCGGGGCGTCGATAATAAACACGCGGCAAGGGGGGCGCGCGGCATGCGGGCGCGGGCGGCGGGCGGGCGTCACCTCCTCGAGGGAGAAGCAGGGCTCCTCGCTCTCGCCGCGCGCCGTCACACAGGATGCGGAACATGAGCTCCCGCACGCACGCCAGGTCGCTGGCCCACGGTTCCTGCGGGGGGGGAAGGGGTGGGAGAGATGGTCCCAAGGAATATTCAGCCTCGCCTGGGGAGGGTGGGGGAGGCCGACGGCCCGGGACGGTTCTCCCCGTGATTTGCTTCCGTGGATCTGAGCTTGCGTTAGTTTGGTTGTCGGGAGCGTGTGTGGCGTTGTTATCTTCCTCGTCTGGTATGGAGGAGGGCGTGGGTTCTATCCCGACCCCGACGCCTTCTGCTGTATATTTGGAGTTTGCGCGTCTCTCTCTCCCAGTGGTCACGTGGATTTTTTTTGTCCAGTTCCTTCGGTTTTTCCCTCCACATTTAGAAACATGCATTGAGATCATTTAGATTATTCAGGTGCTATGAAATGTCAAAATGATGGTCCACTTTGTTGAGCTATTATTTGTGGCCACTTCTGAAAAATTAAGTTAATACGTCAGTGAGCTTTGGCTGGTAGGATGGGGATGGTTTCGTTTATTTTGATGTTTTTGGGTGACATGATTATCTTTCTTGTACTTTGCACTGCTATCGTGTTTTTGTAACTGGTGTTGTTGTGTCCTTACCCGCCCGAACTGGACATCTGTGAAAGAGACCTTCATAGTTCATCAGATTCCTCCAGGATAAATACATATTCTGATTCAGAGACACGGTCTGGTATTTACTTGGACAACTTGCAGCGACCCACAGTTGCTTTTATTGTTATTAGTCAGGAGGATTATTATTTCGATTTAAAGCTTTCGTGACTGCAATGATTCATCTTCTTTGGTTCTTTCGGTAAAGTCACATAGAATTAGAATAAAATAATAAATTGATAAAATAAAATAACACAATAATATTCTCACGACGTTTCGGCCACAACACAAGCGGCCTTCATCAGGTGAAGGGACGAGACTGTCTGGAGGACAGCGCTGGAGTGAAAAAGCCACGTTCAGATCACGGCCTTTAAGCCTCAACTTTAGGCTTAAAGGCCGTGATCTGAACGTGGCTCTTTCACTCCAGCGCTGTCCTACCAGACAGTCTCGTCCCTTCACCTGATGAAGGCCGCTTGTGTTGTGGCCGAAACGTCATGAGAATATTATTGTGTTATTTTATTTTATCAATTTAATATTTTATTCTCATTCTACGTGACTTTACCGAAAGAACCAAAGAAGAGGATTATTATTGTTTACGTTATTCACTTGTGTGTGAAGGACCCTACTGGGCAGTTGGAGGCGGTCACCCTCCAACAACAGCGGAGGGCAGAGGAGCGACGTTCACAACAACGAGCGGAGCGTCGGGTGGCTAAAACGGTAGCAAGTTGGCACCACAGTGGGGAGCACAGGTGGTGCCATCTGCCGGTCATCTCATTCAATGAACCCATAGCACTTGGGTCTGTCCCGCGGCCTCCTGCCCAGCAGCAAGCCTTCAACACTTTACATGGCCTCAAAGTGCACTTAGTCTGGTACAAGTGCCATGGTGACACCACCATCACTTGGTGCCGAACGGCGGTTGCTGATGCTTGGTTTGCTGCGCGACACGTCTCATTACCGCGATGCGGAGCTGTTGCGTGGCAACAGCTCCCATTGTTTGCTATTACAGGCTGCTACTGATGTGGTCACGAGGCCAGCTCAGACAGCACTTGCTGCTGATGTTAGCCCATGGCCGGACATCGAACTCGGATTGATGGTTTCATAGCGCAAACCAATGCGATTCTACTCCACCTGGACTTAACGTAACGAGCAGAGCTAGACAGGGCCACTGAGATTCCTCCAGGATAAATAAAGATTCCGATTATATGAAACGAAGAAATCAGATGGACTAAATGACAGTATAACCCTGATGAAAAACTATTCTTGAATCTTCCAAATCACGACTTGGCATCATGACGACTATCTGTACCAAGCAGTGTATCTGCACTACGGCCCGCCCTGGTTAATACTGCAGTTGGTGTAATAACCGTGACAATCACGTGCCGTCTGTTTTCACAGTGGACGGTTGCAGATCCCCTGACGTAATTCGCAAAGAGTCGGCCGCTGTGTGCCGGCGGGCGTCAGGGCCCACAACAATTGCCAGGTTCGAAAATCACACCGCGAATTACTCAATCGGGATGTCCACACACACAGGGAGAATCATCTATAACACGTAGCTTTTCGCGACAAATATCATCCATAACACGGCGTTTTTTGGGGGGTTGTGGCTTCGCTCTCCAAAACACCGATGTGCTACACCAGTAACGAATTGGCACGTTCGGTTTACGCGTCGGGTGGTGGCGGGGTTTCATGACACATTTTTATATTTACGCAATCTAACCAAAAAAAACCCTGTATTATGGAGGGAAAATCATCATCGGCCCCAGGTCAATCCTGCAAATGAGGCTCCATCTCCCCAGCCCCTCGAGTTCACAGCGGGCTAAACAACATCAGCTCAAACGTTTACGCCCTCACCTTCTGCTCGATTTGCAGGAACCTCTGGAAGTCGTGCAGCGTTACGGAGCAGACGTCCGGCCGCTCCGAGTTCCTGGACGGCGCACAGGGGTCGGGGACACGTGGGGTTACAGACACGCGGGGATCGGGGACACGAGGGGGTCACGGACACACGGGGTTACGGACACACGGGGTCACGGGACACACGGGGTCGGGGAAACGCGGGGTCGGTGGAAACGCGGGGTTGGGGACACGCAGGGTCACGGACACACGGGGTCACAGACACACGGAGTCACGGACACACGGGGTCACGGACACACGGGGTCACGGACACACAGGGCGAGACAACGTCGGCATGCTAGTGAGACACGCGGTGGAGAGATGTTAACTGCCTCGCCTGGTATACAGGCCGGGGGTTCGATCCCAACCAAGACGCCTGCCGTATATTGAAGTCTGCATGTTTCCCCATAGTTGCGTCTTCCCGCCACATTTAGCATCAAGTATTTGGCTCCTACAAATTTCCACGTGATAAGCCACTTCGTTGAGCTATCATGTGTGGTCAGGCCATTTCTTAAAAAGAGCTGTATAGCTCCGTGAGCCTGACGTGGTAAAATAAAAATAAATAGCTTCGTTTGTCATTTTAGACGCCCGCACGGGGTGAAATCATACTCGTGCTACCGCAGCGAAAAACATTTATGCATGCTCTGTATGGTGAACTTCCTTTAGCACTGTATGTCGCCAACCGTGCTAATCGAAGGTGCAGGGGAAGGGTAAACTAAACACGAAAAGCAGTTCTAAATTAATCGTTTTTAATCTAGATTTCCAAGTGCATAACTACACTGGCTTCCTAATATTGGAAGGAAGAGCGTTTCCAGACGGCCGCAGAAGCGCATCTGAAAGCGCGCGATGCGGTGGCCGTCTTGGCCTGATGGCTAGCAGCCAAAAGCGCTGCTGCGAGGATGAACCGGAGTTGGCGTGATGTTTTTATGCTCCTTGATGAGACGAGCACGGTATCGTAGTTCATTTGTGGCAAGCATTTAATATGCTTAATAACTTCTTGGTTCTTTCGGTAAAGTCACGTAGGAGGGAAGTAATAAAAATAAAACATAATAAAATAAAATTCTCACGACGTTTCGGTCACAACACAAGTAGCCTACTTCAGGTGAAGGAACAGAACTGCCGAGACGACAGCGCTTTGAAGCTTTGAAGCGCTGTCGTCCCGACAGTTCTGTTCCTTCACCTGAAGAAGGCTACTTGTGTTGTGGCCGAAACGTCGTGATAATTTTATTTTATTATGTTTTATTTTTATTACTTCCCTCCTACGTGACTTTACCGAAAGAACCAAGAAGATGAATCCCTGCAGTCACGAAAGCTTTAAATCGAAAAATGCTTAACAACGTTTGGATTGCTAGTTTATAGACGATGGATACAACTGACCAGGCACACATGGTTCCCACTCTTGATGGCCACGTGGACCACTTCCCTGGGCACTGCAGATGAGTTTATATTTGCGCTCTCCAGCATTGAAAATGGAGTTGTCGTGTTCTTAGAATTTTTATGGCTTTTTGATGGACAGTAGTCTTGGTTTGAACTAAATAACACGTTTTAGAACAAAGACAAAGATCTCCCCCGTATAGCCGAAAAGTTGACAATACACACATGCAAATGCTACAACAAAATCCAGCCTTAACTGCAAATGATAATAATTATTTAATTTTATTGAGCATTATTCATGCAATTGCATCCCAATGATCCAGTTCCGTACACAGATAATACAAAAACAAAACCCCACTACTTAGCAAATAAAAAATGAATACATAAATAGCGAGAAAAATATATAATCGCAGAGAAAATCAATGAAAATAAATCAATCCGTTCGGTCTCCATGATAATGGCTGTGATGATGACTGGGCTGGGCTACAAATGAAGCGGTGGATGGGGGGAGGGGAGCGGGGGTGTGTGGGGGATTTATTTGGAACTTACCGAAGAGGTACGCAGAAGTCTATCTGCTCAACGATCTGTAAGACAGGGGGGAAAAGAGGCAATGATTTAAGATTTAGCCATCCTGTGATTTAAGGTTTAGCCATCCTGTGATTTAAGGTTTAGCCATCCTGTGATTTAAGGTTTAGCCATGATGTGATTTAAGGTTTAGCCATCCTGTGATTTAAGGTTTAGCCATTCTGTGATTTAAGGTTTAGCCATCCTGTGATTTAAGGTTTAGCCATCCTGTGATTTAAGGTTTAGCCATGATGCGATTTAAGGTTTAGCCATGATGCGATTTAAGGTTTAGCCATGATGCGATTTAATGTTTAGCCATCCTGTGATTTAAGGTTTAGCCATCCTGTGATTTAAGGTTTAGCCATCCTGTGATTTAAGGTTTAGCCATGATGTGATTTATGGTTTAGCCATCCTGTGATTTAAGGTTTAGCCATCCTGTGATTTATGGTTTAGCCATGATGCGATTTAAGGTTTAGCCATGATGCGATTTAAGGTTTAGCCATGATGCGATTTAAGGTTTTGCCATGATGCAATTTAAGGTTAAGCCATGATGTGATTTAAGGTTTAGCCATGATGTGAAAAAGGCCCACCTCCGTTCAGCGTGGTTTGCTGCGAAAGACGTTCAATATACATTACACGAATTTACCGAAACGTTGCCGATATATTTTACTTTTATGGCCACACACACACACGATGTTTGTTTGTGCACTACTGCCAATGCAGCAGCAGCAGTATCACCAACTTATCTGTTATATCGCATGTAGCGTGCACACGAATGTTAACATGTAAACAATATACTTAATTCAAAGTAGTATTTAAGTTTGGAGACTCAAGAGGTACATCTGACAAGTCGCCCGTGTAAGCAACAACAACAAAAGAATCGAGAAAGAATTGGCAGGACAATGGGCGCCAATTGGAAACTGGGCGTCATGAGCAACAGCTGACGAGAGGTGAGACCAAGCAAATGTGCATTATGGGTGGAGGAGACCGAGAAAAGGATCAGAGGGAGACAGCGGAAGAGAGGGCCATGACCAGGCACTAAAACTAAACTATTTTTTATTTTACCAGGTAAGGCCCACACTGAGCTATGTAGCTCTTTTTCAGAAGCAACCTGGCCACAAATTCTCGCTCAACAAAGTGGCTTACCATCGCGTGGACATTTGTATCAGCCAAATACTCTAAACACGTGATGTTGATTCTGAAAGGTGGAAGGAAAAACCGGAGGATCCGGAGAAAAAATCAACACGACCAAGCGGAGAGAGAGAGAAAACATGCAAACTCCAAATAAGCAGGCATCGTCAGCACCAAGATCCAACCCACGACCTCCTGTATACCACGTGAGGGAATTAACATTTCGCCACTTGTGACACAAGCAACTGGGGAACGAAAGAAATGGGAGAAAATGGAGGTGAGGCTTTTGGGACAGCAGTGGGAAGCCGAAGGCCGACCACGACAACGTCAACAAGCTCCATCGCAGCCACCTCGTCCAAATGTGTCTGCGCGAGCCACCAACCCCCAACTTGTAGCGCACCGCAGAGTATGTGCTCGCTCTCGAAGAGAGAGGACGACTCGGAGGCGCGCGAGGAGGAACCACAGACAACCAGCGAGACAGCAGCAGCAGCCACGCGTTGAGCCGGCACCAACAATTGCCCAAGCTCAGTGGTCCTCTGTGTATTACGGTGTTATCGGTCAATCAATGAGCGTTCATACACGTGGGAGGGAAACCAGGGCACCCACGCGTGCGAGGGGGAAACACTCAATCCCACACGGAAGGAACAGGTGGAGTCCACACTGCTGCCGTACCGCCGTACGGCGCCTGCGCGACGACCACGGCAAGGGAGTTTCGCAAGATCATCAGTGTGCCTCCACGGCGATGACCGCCGCCGCCGCCGGCCGGCTCGCAGGTCGAGGGCACCGCGCCCGGTAAAGCGTGGGCGATGCGCGCGTGACGTGAAGGCCGGGCGAGCGCGCGCAGACATTCCCGCGAAGCCCTCACCAGTCTCTGCGCGTCGAACATGAGGTTCTTGTAAAAGGCCACAAACTGGGCGAAGGAAATCTCCCCCTTCCTCGCTTCCACTTCCTGCAAGAGACGTTCACAAAAAAAACGTTTGCGTTTTAAAAAATAATAAATGTACGCGAGGCATATTTTTGTTGTTGCTGTGAACAAAAAGCGCTCGTTGTAGTCCGCAAGAGGTTTTTTTTTGGGGGTTAGATCGCGTAAATATTAATGTGTCGTTAAACCCTCCACCACCCGACACGGCAATTAGTAAGGTTTGTCACGTTAACAAAATGTGCCGATTTGTTACGTGTTCAGCACGCGGTGTGTTGGAGAGTAAACCCACGGCGTATTAAATTCGAGTACGACGTTTCGCCAGTCATTACCACTAGCATCATCAACCTCCACTATGGATAATATTGGTCGCGAAAAGCCTACTTGCGTGTTCATCTCACTTGTTGTGAGCTCACACAAAGGAAGGTTTAATAGAAAACCCTTGGGCCAAACAATCGGCGGGTCACGCGGTGTGGAGACAGTCACCCAGCAGTGGAATGACAATGGGACCTCAACTGTTGCTATGCAACAAGCAAAGCACGCGGACGATCGTTAACCTTCGTGGGATTTCGTCACGCGACGTAACCGGGCTTATGAACGCCAAGTCACGTTCCGAAATCCGAACCGACGGTAAACGGTGGGAGGCAAGCGACAGCGCGGCCGTCGCGGGTTACCGCAAACTTGTCCCGGAGTTGCCGCTGTGTTCGGCAACTTGAAGTTCAGCTGCGGCAGCATGGCCTTCAGGTCCTTGCGATTCACCCTGCAGACGACGCAACGACGTTCAACAGGCGGCCGAAAAGGCCGGGGCAAAAAACGCGTGGGCAACTCCAAAAAACGCCGGTCCAGCATGGAATGGGTAGGCTAAATACCCCGTAGAGGAGCGATCTCTAGCAATAGGCCCTCCCGACGGCAGTCGCTGCGCGCAAGCAATTGCAGGGACTGCACCTTTTGCCGTGGACGTTTGTGCATGTGCGTACGAACGGCTCACGGAAACCCAGAAACCACTGTTGACTGTTAATCCAACTGCACAAGTTATAGTGTGCATGGACTCACCACGGTGACGACTGGGCGCCACAGTGGGAGATGTTAACTACCTCGCCTGGTATACAAGAAGGCGGTGGGGGTTTCGATCCCGACCCCTGACGCCTGTTTATTTGGAGTTTGCGTGTTCTCCCCGTGGTCACGTGGATTTTTCTCCGGGTCTTCCGGTTTTTACCTCCCACATTTAGAATCAACATCGCGCGTTCATACAGTATTTGGCTGCTATAAATTTCCACTTGAAAAGTCGCTTCATTGAGCTATCATTTGTGGCCAGGTCGCTTTCCGAAAAAGAGCTATGTAGCTCAGTGGGCCTTAGCTGGTAAATAAAAAATTCTGGCTTAGTTTTTTTAGTTGAATCGTTACCCCAGAATCGTGGTCGCACGTGGAATCACGTGGGGAGTGGGGGGTCAATCATCGCGTAGCTATTTCCTGTCCATGCGTACAAAAACCCCCTCTCTCAACTCTTTAAGTCCCATGATAAAAAGATCCCTTCCTGCACTGCTGTGTTATCAGCAAGGAACAGATTTCCTTTGTCCTATTTTTGGGATTGTGGAAAGAAAGGGGAAAAAAGAGAGAGAGAGAGAGAAACATTTCCAGCCGCTATTCTCCATCTTTTCCAGCCCGAGTTGAACAAAGGAGAAAAACAAATAATTAGTGCAGATGTGCGAGCCGTTCCGATTTTGCTTCAAACACGCGGGTGGCGAGATGTTACTACCTCGCCTGGTATACAGGAGATCGTGGGTAAATCCCCAACCCTGATGTCCGTATATTTGGAGTTTGCGTGTCTTTCTCCCTCATGGTCGCGTGGATTTTTCTCCGAGTCCTCCGGTTTTTCCCTCCACACTTAGAATCAATGCGCATTTACAGTATTTGTCTGCAATAAAGTTCCACACGATAAGCTACTTCGCTGAGCTATCATTTGCGGCCATGTCACTTCTGAAAAAGAGCTACATCGCTCAGTGGGCCTTACCTGGTAAAATAAAAATAGTTGAGTTTTTCGTTTAGTACAGGCTTAACATCCGCTCCGGCACAAAAATCGCCGACTCACGTACGCGGCTTTTGGGGGGGGGGGGGGGGGTGGGGAGGGCTTGTGCAGATGCCCGTTGACGGAACCCTGTACGACGTTATGAAAAAGCGTTTCACATGCGCGAGGGAAACTGCAGTGGCAGGAGAGAACCCAGGGTGCACTGGGGGGTTAACACGCAAAAGGTCCGCCACGGGTTTTCAACGTCGCCACGCCACTTACTGAACTACTACCCGCCTGCCGGACAAAACTTGCATCCCCCAGCTGGCTTGAACGTTTCGCGAATGTACGCGCGCGCTACCCACCAATCTTTGCCTCGCGAGCAACGCATTACCACAACGGGTGACCGAAACAACGCGCTTGTTCGTGCGACAGGAGAGACTCGACACCACCTCTCCCCTCCAAAGGAAACGTGGAATTGACGCCCATCCAATGGGAATGGAGCAGCACGCAAGCGAGGCTCTCGCACGGCAGTGGTGGGGGGGGGGGGGGGGTACACACTGACCGCCAATCGCGCGGCCGCCCACCGACGACCACGGCCCGCTTCTCAAAACCTTTTCCTGTTCAATGGTTAAACCCCCTCCCCCAGCTGTACCCCTGGCCCCCACTACCGCCTCTCCACGACAACGAATTAGAGCAAACCGAATGAACCCACTTCAAGAAGAGACGCCGGGCACCTTGCCAGCCTGTGACACACAAACGTACACCCCTCCCCCCACCTCGTATCCGCCCCCTTTAGGTCGGATATTCACAAAACCTATGGGGTCTCGGAACCGGCGATTTCATGGGAAACATAAAACAGGCCAGAACTTGCCACACCCTGGCTAGCCGGCATACTGACGGCCCGACCCGCGGCCAGCCCGAGGCAGGCCCGCGGCCGATTGACCGACTGACGGACCGACGGTCGACCGACCGACTGACCGACGGCCGGCCGACCCGTGGCCGGCCATCGGCCAACCGACCGCCGACACGCGGCCGACCATCGGCCAACCGACTGACGGTTGACCCGTGACCGACCGACCGACGGCCGACCCGCGGCCGACCCGCGGGCCAACCGACTGACCGCCCGATCCGCTCGGATGGTACCCGACACGCCTGGGCGATAACGCGAGAACCGCGGTGACGCGGACGCACCCGTTTTCCCCGGTTCCCTGTCCATCGCGTAGAACTGCTTCCTCAGCCACCTGTAAGGTGACAATCAAACAACAAAGATAAAGATCAACGCCTGCCCATCCCCCTGTAGCCTTAACAGACTGCAGGGGCAAGTGCTGTTAGCGAGCACCTATGAAGGCAGGCACGGCACACGAGGGGGTGAGTGTCCAGCACCACGCCGGCTGCCTGTCCCCCCAGTGGCGATGTTTACACACTACTGCACGTGGTACTCATTTGAGGCCGAGTCGATCTAGGGGAGGCCCAGCACCGGTTCAGATAATCGTCACTGGTGTTGGCTATGAGCGGGAATCAAACCCGGATTGCCAGGTTCATACCAAAGCGTCGCTAACCACTACACTACCGCTCCCACTCGGTGACATCAGACGCACACAGATCACGCAGACGCATGCTCGCGCACACACACACGCAATTTTCTTCGTGGGTCAATACGACGTCTCTCATTCGTTTCTTCGTTCTCTAACCCACGTGCTCCTCTAGCCGTCTCTGCGTCTCATTCTAAACGTGCATCTCTCCTTGCTTATTTGCGGGCTCTTTGTCTATACTTCCCTTATCCTTGTCAATGTCCACGCAGGTGACACACACGTCATAGGAAGGGCAGGTGATACACACACACACACATGTCATAGGCAGGGCAGGTGACACACACACACACGTCATAGGCAGGGCAGGTGATACACACATACACACGTGTCATAGGCAGGGCAGGTGATACACACACGTGTCATAGGCAGGTGAGACACACACATGTCATAGGTCGGTGATATACATACACACACGTGATAGGCAGGGCAGGTGATACACACAAACACGTGATAGGCAGGTAATATATACATACATACATACGTGTCATAGGCAGGCGAAACACACACATGTCAGAGGTAAAGAATATGTCAGAGGCAGGTGATACACACACATGCCATAGGCAGGGCACGTGATACACACCCACACACGTGCCATAGGCAGGTGAGACACACACACACACACTCATCACAGGCAGGGCAGGTGATACACACACACACACATAAGCAGGTGATATCATTACACACACACATATCATAGGCGGATGATTAGCAATGCTGATCAGCACTTTCTTTAGGGACATTGCTGCGTCGCTTTCCAAGTTCAGAATTTCAAAAGCACTCCGCGACCCGTATGTACGTTGAACTTCTTTCGCACCGTACACAGCCAACCGTGCTAATTGGACCTGCTCTCGACCGCAAGACTACGGTAGCCGAGAGGCATCGTGCAGATGCCGTACCGACATTGGGAACGCAACGAGCGTGGACAGCGGCGTTATCCTCGCCGGGTGGCCGAGCAGGAGAGCGAGCTGCTCGCAATCGGAAGGTCGAGAGTTTTGAATCCCGCTTGAGGGTTGACTCTGCCTCCATCAACCCTCGGGCATTAACAAAATTACTGCCACACTTTGTGGGGCACGTCAACGGTGGTTGTTTTGAAAGCCAGACTCGCCCTTGCCATAGAAACGTGGAATTTCCTCCAGCGGCTTAGGGCGGTGAAGTGGAGCCCGAGCACCGCCTCGGTGCTCGCGAAAGCGGGGGGGGGGGGGGGGGGGGGGGGGGAGGGAGTCACTTTGACTCTCGTTAGCGAACGCAGCAAGAACAGGAGGTTTCAAACCGCCACGCGCCGTCAGATCAAAAATCGGGCATCTAAAAGCGGGACAGAAAGCGCTCCGAGTTGAGCAACACTCCTCCCCAGCGGACGGCGATACGGACGACAAAAAAATAACACCGTCCAAGGCGCTCGGGACGCACGCCTCCAGCCGCAAACCGCAGCCCACCCACCCCGGTTTGCCTCCACGTGTTCCGAGGCACCCCCCCCCCCCCCCCGCCGCGCCCCCCCCCCACCCCTGAGGGAAGCGAGCGATCGTCACACCTTTCGATCTGCAGCGCGGTCGGAGCCCAGAGAGTGTCCGTCAGGAGCCAGTTGAGTCCCGTCACCCAAACGGAGGCCTCCTCCTTGCTGTCGGCTGACACACGACACACAGCGCACGTCCCTCGCCCATCCAGCCCACGTCCCTCTCGCATCCAGCCCACGACGCTCGCTGCAGCAGGAGGATGACGACGACGGTGAACCTACAAAGGTGCGGGCGGCGGTGGCCACGCACGTGGCTTCTATCGCACCGTGCGTAGCCAACCGTGCTAAAATCGGAGGTTGCGAGAGGGTTGGGGGATCGCCGCGCAAATGTTGTTCCTGCGGGCGTGGAGCAGGTGCCCATACCCTGGCTCGTCGGGAGAGGGCAGTATAGCAAGTGTGGACTAATCGCCACCTGTTTCCATCGAGACAGGGGGATAGAGCGTTGCCCCCTTTGTGCAAGGCGTGGGTTTTCTCCAGGTCCTCCAATTTCCTGCCACGTGCAAAATAAATTGGCTGCAAATGCCTTTAAAAAATGCAGGACCCTCCTGAAAGCAAATTGGCGTGGCTTCCAGCCACTAGAGCTGCCGGAATGCTATACAGGGATACAATTATAATTCATAGACTTTATTTATAACATCTCGGTGGCGTTATCTTCCTTGTCTGGTATGCAAGAGGTCGGGGATTCAATCCCAACCTTGACGCCTGCTGCTGTATATTTGGAGTTTGTGCGTCTCCCTCCCCGTGGTCGCGTGGATTTTTTCTCCGGGTTCTCCGGTTTTTCCCTCCACATTTAGAAACATGCGTGGAGATTATTTAGATTTTTTTTGGTGCTATAAATATCCAAATGATAAGGCCACTTTGTTGAGCTATTATTTGTGGCCAGGTCACTTCTGAAAAATAAGTTGATACGTCAGTGGGTTTTGGCTGGTAGGATGGGGATGGTTTAGTTTTATTTGTTTGTGTTTTTGGGTGATTTGTTTACCTTTCCTGTACTTTGCACTCCTATCGTGTTTTTTTGAATTGTTTGTTATTGTAACGTTCTTACCCACCCCTGCTGGACATGTGTGAAAAGAGCTTTATAGCTCATCGTATTCCTCCAGCATTGCTCTCGGTGAGAGAGCGAGTGCAAAAAATATCTGGCCTCCACGGTGTGTGGAGCGGCCGTCACGTGAAGGTATCTCTCAGAGGTAGTTCTGTGACATCCGCTTTCCTGGGCACTGTTCGGTGAGATTCGACGCCGACAGCGCAACGCGATAAAACTGTCAGTCGGAGTGGGGGGCCATTAATGGGGGGGGGGGTGGTGACATTTGCCGATTATTTATAATAAAACTATTCATTGCCATAATTTCAAGGGTAAGGAACGGGAATTGGAGGCTAGGTGGTCCCCATTCGCACTGAACCCAGCGTGAGTGTACACACAGTTCGGGGGCGGGGGGAGGGGATAGACTCCCAACACGCCATCCCATAGACAGGGGATAGACACCCAACACGCCATCCCATAGACAGGAGATAGACACCCAACACGCCATCCCATAGACAGGGGATAGACACCCAACACACCATCCCATAGACAGGGGATAGACACCCAACACGCCATCCCATAGACAGGGGATAGACACCCAACACGCCACCCCATAGACAGGGGATAGACTCCCAACACCCCATCCCATAGACAGGAGATAGACACCCAACACACCATCCCATAGACAGGGGATAGACACCCAACACGCCATCCCATAGACAGGGGATAGACACCCAACACGCCACCCCATAGACAGGGGATAGACTCCCAACACCCCATCCCATAGACAGGAGATAGACACCCAACACGCCATCCCATAGACAAGGGATAGACACCCAACACGCCATCCCAAAGACAGGGGATAGACACCCAACACGCCATCCCATAGACAGGGGATAGACACCCAACACGCCATCCCATAGACAGGGGATAGACTCCCAACACGCCATCCCATAGACAGGAGATAGACACCCAACACGCCATCCCATAGACAGGGGATAGACACCCAACACGCCATCCCATAGACAGGGGATAGACTCCCAACACGCCATCCCATAGACAGGGGATAGACTCCCAACATACCATCCCATAGACAGTGGATAGACACCCAACACGCCATCCCATAGACAGGGATAGACACCCAACACGCCATCCCATAGACAGGGGATAGACCCCCAACACGCCATCCCATAGACAGGGGATAGACTCCCAACACGCCATCCCATAGACAGGGGATAGACTCCCAACACGCCATCCCATAGACAGGGGATAGACACCCAACACGCCATCCCATTGACAGGGGATAGACACCCAACACGCCATCCCATAGACAGGGATAGACTACCAACACACCATCCCATAGACAGGGGATAGACACCCAACACACCATCCCATAGACAGGGGATAGACACCCAACACGCCATCCCATAGACAGGAGATAAACACCCAACACGCCATCCCATAGACAGGGGATAGACACCCAACACACCATCCCATAGACAGGGATAGACACCCAACACACCATCCCATAGACAGGGGATAGACACCCAACACGCCATCCCATAGACAGGGGCAAACGAATTCTTCTGCCGTGGCTGATCACTGTTACAACGCTGTGGGTGATCACGATATAATTTTCTCCGATACCAAGGTTCTTTGCAAACCCACTGGTTTTTATCAGAGATTTGTTCACGAGGCAATTCAGATCTACAAACACAGACACAATTTCAACCGAGAAGATGGTTTAAAATTAAGCAACCATTGGAACGATGTTCTAAATCGAACTAAACATTAAATTAATTTCAACAGTATATTTTTCAAGTAGTGGTACCCCAAACTTTCGCAGCTCTTATAAATTCCCTTTTCACACCATCAATAGGTAAACTCCCCCCCCCCCCCCGCGCCAAACGGCAAGTCCACCGGCACGTACACCACCTCTTTTCTAAAATCGGCCAATCAAATGCTAATTTTTATGCTAATTTCTTTGTCAGGACACCTTGTTTGCTCGCACACAGCTTAAAGGTCCGCGGTCTGAGCGTGGTTGTGTTTCGCTAAATTCTCCTGTTTGATTTGTACTAAGTGCCTCGGTGAATGTATATGCTCTGACTTTAACATAGCTATTTCTGTGACCAGTCACAAGCTAATCACTCAGCCATTTCAATGCTAAATTATATGCTAATTCCTTTGTCAAGGCGCTTTGTTTCTTCTCACACAGCTTAAAGGTCGTGATCTGAGTGTGGCTTTTTTCACTCCAGCGCTGTCCTCCAGACAGTCTCGTCCCTTCACCTGATGAAGGCCGCTTGTGTTGTGGCCGAAACGTCGTGATTTTTGTTATTTTATTTTTTACCTACGTGACTTTACCCAATAGAACCAAAGAGTAGGGGATAGACACCCAACACGCCATCCCATAGACAGGGGATAGACACCCAACACGCCATCCCATAGACAGGGGATAGACACCCAACACGCCATCCCATAGACAGGGGATAGACACCCAACACGCCATCCCATTGACAGGCGATAGACACCCAACACGCCATCCCTTAGACAGGGGATAGACACCCAACACGCCATCCCATAGACAGGGGATAGACACCCAACACGCCATCCCATAGACAGGGGATAGACACCCAACACGCCATCCCATAGACAGGGGATAGACACCCAACACGCCATCCCATAGACAGGGGATAGACACCCAACACACCATCCCATAGACAGGGGATAGACACCCAACACGCCATCCCATAGACAGGGGATAGACACCCAACACGCCATCCCATAGACAGGGGATAGACACCCAACACGCCATCCCATAGACAGGGGATAGACACCCAACACACCATCCCATAGACAGGGGATAGACACCCAACACACCATCCCATAGACAGGGGATAGACACCCAACACACCATCCCATAGACAGGGGATAGACTCCCAACACACCATCCCATAGACAGGGGATAGACACCCAACACGCCATCCCATAGACAGGGGATAGACACCCAACACGCCATCCCATTGACAGGGGATAGACACCCAACACACCATCCCATAGACAGGGGATAGACACCCAACACACCATCCCATAGACAGGGGATAGACTCCCAACACGCCATCCCATAGACAGGGGATAGACACCCAACACGCCATCCCATAGACAGGGGATAGACACCCAACACACCATCCCATAGACAGGGGATAGACTCCCAACACGCCATCCCATTGACAGGGGATAGACACCCAACACGCCATCCCATAGACAGGGGATAGACACCCAACACGCCATCCCATAGACAGGGGATAGACACCCAACACGCCATCCCATAGACAGGGGATAGACTCCCAACACGACAAGCTGACTCGCCGCGTCAATGTTATTTTATTTTGTGGTTCTGTCTCAGCACGTGCTCTCTATCTCCCCCCCTTCCCTCTGCTTCCCCTCCCCTAAAATGACCACGTTCCCGACCGCTACCCGTACGTGAGTAGGGGGGCAGTGAACCCAATCGCCTTCCCCTCCCCTCGCCCCGTGGCGACCTGGCCTAGGGCGTTTGCATTATTTAGATTACGTGGCTGCTGTAAATGTCCACACGATGCCGAGCCACTAACGTTGAGCTATCATTTGTGGCCAGGTTGCTTCTGAAAATGAAGGTTGGCTCAGCGGGCTTTACCTGGTAAAATAAAAATTGTTGCGTTTTATTTGTATATATATACATTTTTTAAACGATTTTCTTACATTTCCTATACTTTGTGCCCTTCACTGTAGATTTGTGAGAAAAAGAGCTTCACAGCTCATCGGATTCCTCCAGGATAAATACATATTCTGGATTCTGACTGTCATCCGCTCGTGCTTTGTAATGGGCTGTTGTTTAAAAAACAAAAAAATGCTGGAGAGGGAAGAGGCGACGCTCACCGACGATGCTGAGGGTCTTGAGGCGGAACTCGGTGCCATGGAGAACGACGAAGCACAGCAAAGCGTCCACCTTCCGGGCCTCGTCCTGGTACCGCTCAAAGTCACGGGAGTTCTTCCCCGGCCTGATCTCTTTGATCTCGCGAATGTCAACTGTGCACGCGCACGGGTAGGAGGAGATAGATAAACGCAGAGCACACACACACACACGTGTGAAATTAATCATGGAATATATGGCGGCTGTACAAAGACAAAGATCCCCCGCATAGGCTTAACAAACTGCAGGAACAAGTGCTGTTAGCGAGTACCTATGAAGGCCGGCACGGCACACGAGGGGGTGGGTGGCCGGCACCACGCCCGACCGCCTTTATCTCCCCAGTGGCGATGTTTACACACCGCACCAGGTACTCATTTGAGGCCGAGTCGACCTAGCGGAGGTCCAGGAATCGCTGCACTGCCGATCCCCACAAGTACACAAATACAAAGATCCCCCGTTTAGCTTTAACAGACTGTTGGGGCAAGTGCTGTTAGCGAGCAGCACCTATGAAGTACACACACACAGGCAGACTGACCAACCGGCCACAACCGGTACAGCTCACAACAGCCATGCACAGCAGGGGAAGGAAACAATTCCTCACGGAGGGCCGAACAGGACACCACTGGCCGGCCACACATCACACACCACGGGTGTACGGCGAACCGCAGCAGCGTGCCGTCTACGCGTGACGAATACACCGACCGCGGCCGCCCAACGCGAAAAGCGTGACCCCTGCCGTGGGAACGAGGAATTTCCACCACTGCCTCGTATCTGCCCACAAACGGGCGAGCACGATGGGGTGGGAGGGGTCACACACTCCGCGGAGACGGAAAGCAAGAGACAGAGCTGGATATCTGCGCCGCTTGGCCGCGAGAGACAGCCACGGAGAGGCCTTCGTTCAGCATTGGATAGACAGATCATGGCTGCGGATGATGTTGACGATGACGACCACCACAACAGTGACGAAATCGGTGGGGGGGGGGGGGGGGGGGACGGGCGGCTTGGTGGGGGACGTGCAACTGCTCGCGCCAACCGAGGACCCCGGTGGCGACGACGCCCGCACGCCCGCACGCCACGCACGCCCGCACGCCCGCACGCCCGCACGCCCACACGCCCGCACGCCCGCACGCCACGCACGCCCGCACGCCACGCACGCCACGCACGCCCGCACGCCCGCACGCCCGCACGCCCGCACGCCCGCACGCCACGCACGCCCGCACGCCCGCACGCCCGCACGCCCGCACGCCCGCACGCCCGCACGCCCGCACGCCACGCACGCCCGCACGCCCGCACGCCCGCACGCCCGCACGCCCGCACGCCCGCACGCCCGCACGCCCGCACGCCCGCACGCCACGCACGCCCGCACGCCCGCACGCCACGCACGCCCGCACGCCCGCACGCCACGCACGCCCGCACGCCCGCACGCCCGCACGCCACGCACGCCCGCACGCCACGCACGCCACGCACGCCCGCACGCCCGCACGCCACGCACGCCCGCACGCCACGCACGCCCGCACGCCCGCACGCCACGCACGCCCGCACGCCCGCACGCCACGCACGCCCGCACGCCACGCACGCCCGCACGCCCGCACGCCACGCACGCCCGCACGCCCGCACGCCCGCACGCCCGCACGCCACGCACGAGCGGGCACATGACGCCCTCCGTCAACAGACCACCCACAAGGCCGTGGGGGTTGGGGGAGATCCTATCGATTGCGTAAGGATTTTAAAAACGCCGGTGAATTTGCAAATGGGATTTATCCTCACTCCGTTAAATTTTTAACTATCGTTTTTTTTTCCCGCTCCATTATTCTGTAGTTTGGTTCCGGTGCAAGCTTTGAGTGGGTTTACGTACAACGGAGTTTAGGTGCGATCGTTTAATTCACCTGCGGAACCTGCCATCCATTCTGACCGCAGTTAGTCTCAATCCCGAATCGGACGGTGAGACTGTAAACGACGACACGACCCTCGCCTCCCTTCTTCACGAGTGCCCTGCTCGCCGCGAAACATTAATCTCTCTGCCGACGTCCACCCAAGAACAGTCACGCGAACGCCGTGTTTACGCACGTCTGCCAAGTTCGAACAAGGGGCGCCACGCTGGCGAGATGTTAACAGTCTCGCTTGGAACACAGAAGGTCATGGGTCCGATCCCGACCCTGACTCCTGCTGTATATTTGGAGTTTGCGTGTCTCTCTCCCGGTGGTCGTGTGGATTTTTCTCTGGGTCTTGCGTTCAGAGTCTTTGGTTGCCATGAATTTCCACGTGATAAGCCACTTCGTTGAGCTATCATTTGTGGCCAGGTCGCTTCTGAAAAAGAGCTGTACAGCTCGGTGGGTCGGAACTGGGAAAATAAAAACAACTTAGTTTCCTCCAAGCGCTCCGGCCTTCTCACACGTGTATATATAATAATCACTCGTACATTGGCCGAAAACGTCTTAATATATCGAGCGCCGCAGAGCTCGACGCGTGCCAGCTCACCGCTCGCCGCGTGCCGGCTCACCGCGTGGCTACTGCTGCCTTCCCACTCGCCTGCGACCTGGAACTCTTCCTTCCGATATTGGGAAGCGACTGGAGCTATGCGCACTGAAACTCATTGCTATAGAACGGCTTTTTGTGTTCTGTTTGTGGTCCTTCCCCCACACCTCCGATTAGCACGGTTGGCTATGTACGGTGCGAAAGAAGTTCCACATACACACGTACACTCTCTCCTACTCACAAACGCATCACTACTCCTATTTACCCCACCAGACAAACCCTCACTCACTCGACACGCACTCACCGATTACCACTGCAAGAATCGCTCGCCCTCCACGACACTAACCATCGAACAAAGACGGTCACCGCATCGCGCGCTTTCAGATGCGCTTCTGCGGCCATCTGGAACGCTCTTCCTACCGATATTAGCAAGCCACTGCAGCCATGCAGTGTTAAATCAAATAGATTTTAAACTAATTTCTTCAGAACTGCTTTTTCTTTTTAGTTGGTGGTCCTCCAATTAGCACGGTTGGCTACGTATGATGGAAAAAGGAATTGAACATACACACATACTGCGTGGTGGCGGCGAAGCGTTACAAGCTTAAATTATTATAAAACTGCTTTGTGCATTTTAGAATTGTGTTATTCGGTGGTATCGATGGAAATTTTTTCCATATTTTATTTATTTTCTTTCACCGATTCATGCAGGATTTATAACGTACCAAAGTAAATGGCAATACAAGCCATAAGTGGCCTCTGACAGGCCCACGTGGAAATAACGGCCTTGATTTTGGTTCTTTCGGTAAAGTCACGTAGAAGGGAAACAATAAAATAAAATAATACGTGACTTTACCGAAAGAACCACGAACATGAATCCCTGCAGTCACGAAAGCTTTAAATCAAACTTTGGGCTTGATTTTGTTAAGCGAATGGATATACACCGGGGCACCCCGTCCCGGAATTAACCCGGCATTCCGGGGACACGGCGTATGCAGCAGAGCAGCTCAACATTCGTACCCCATCAACAGGAAGCAAGCGTCCGCATTTGAGTGGAAGGCGCACGAAGAATATACCGGGGAGAGCGCGACTACCGCAGCAACCGTCCGATAACCAAGACTCGTGGCTGCGAACAAAGGCCAGGGGGATGCACGCGGCGGTGCGTCAATTCCACAGCGGCGGCGGCGGCGGCGACAACGACATTGACGACGATGCGTCCGGTAGCGCAAATTTTTTTACTACGCATAAAAACTGCACCGACCAGAACCAGTAAATTATTGCCGGGCCGGGCCGGGCCGGTGGGGGCGGTGGTTGCAAAAAAAAAAATCCCCGCAGAAATCCAAAGTTGCTCGCGAAAACCCCCCCCCCAACCCCACCCCACCCCACGAAAAATAGCAAAAATGCGACGAGAATAACTCTTCCCAGCGAGTCGCGCGATCGCTAAACAGAGCGCTGAACTTTTACCCTCCGTGTAAACCATCGTGTGCAACACCACACCACGGCAATGCCACGATACGCCACAGCACGGCACGGAACGCGCGCGTGTGTGTGTGTGTGCGTGTGCGTGCGTGCGTGTGTGTGCGTGTGTGCGTGTGCGCGTGTGCGCGTGTGCGTGCGTGCACGTGCGGGTGTGTGTGCGTGTGTGTGCGTGCGTGTGTGCGTGTGCGCGTGTGTGCGTGTGCGCGTGTGTGCGTGTGCGCGTGTGTGCGTGTGTGCGTGCGCAACGCCAGCACGCGCGCTGCCTGGGCGCGGCTTCTCCCTGAACAGGATGTACCGGCGACGCGAGAGCGAAGCGAGCGCGGCCCCGAGCGCGGGCCCAATGCGTCCGCGGGATCGTGCAGGAGAGACGGGATCGTGCAGGAGAGACGGGATCGTGCAGGAGAGACGGGAGCGTGGCGTCCGCGTGCGATGCGGTGCCCGTGGGAGGCAGCGCGGCGACAGCAGGCTGCCCGAAATACGATTCCGCGGGATGATGTTTTCCTTTAAATGGCGGAGCAGCGGCAAAGTGGTTAGCGCACCGCGTTTTAAGCCCGGTGTGCCGTCTTCGATTTCCCGGCGTCTCAGCCCCGTCCTTCACCAGCCTGCAATGACCATTGTGTTGAAGCACGGACAACTGGAGAGGCCTTCATCCAGCAGCGCATCGACAAAGGGCCGTCGCACACACGGCGGGCTATATAAAGTGTTTATGTTGCTGCATTACGATTTACAACAAAACTCTATTTTATTGTACCAGTGAAGGCCCACTGAGCTATATAGCTCTTTTTCAGAAGCAACCTGGCAATCACAAATGATAGCTCAACAAAGTGGCTCATGACGTGGAAATTTATAGCAGCCAAATACTCTATAAACGCGTGATGTTGATTCTAAATTTGGGGGGAAAAACCGGAGCGCCCGGAGAAAAATCCACACAACCACGGGGAGAGAGAGACACGCAAACTCCAAATATACAGCAGCAGGCGTCAGGGTTGAGATCGAACCCACGACCTCCTGTATACCAGGCGAGGTAGTTAACATCCCGCCACTACTAGGAACTTGGTCCATCGGCGGCTCCGCTGCTGGGGGTGTGTTGGGGAGGCGCACGGAACGAAAAGAAGAGAGAGAAAAGTGAAGTGGAATACATTTTCCTTTCAACCAGGAAAGAACA